TTCTCCAGACTAAACAACCCCAGCTCCCTCAGTCTCCTCTCACAAGACTTGGTCTTCAGGCCCTTCACCAGCTTTGTTGCCCTTCTCTGGACACGCTTCAGCAGCTCAATGTCTTTCTTGTAGTGAGGGGCCCAGAACTGGACACAGTATTCAATGTGCGGCCTCATCAGCGCTGAGTACAAGGGGATGATCACTGCCCTTGTCCTGCTGGTCACGATATTTCTGATACAGGCCAGAATGTCACTGGCCTTCTTGGCCACCTGGGCACACTGCTGGCTCATGTTTAGCTGGCTGTTGACCAAAATCCCCAGGTCTTTTTCTGCCAGGCAGCTCACCAGCCACTCGTCCCCAAGCCTGTAGCGTTGTATGGGGTTGTTGTGACCGAAGTGCAGGACCCGGCACTTGGTCTTATTGAACCTCTTCCATACTGGGTATCACAAATTCTGGAAAAATGTTCACATAAGTCAACAAATGTGCTTAACAGTGGATTTGTGAACTTCTTCCACTACAGAGGCAAAACAGAAAGGGTGTGCAGAAACAGAAGCGCAGTTTTACCCTGGATTATTCACAAGACATAGAGTTATTTTCATTATTAGTGTGCTGGAGGCGAGACAAAAACAAACTGAAGACCATGGAAAATCATACATGAAGAAAAAATACATCAGTGTATTTACACAGCTTACACCTAATTATGTGTCTTTTTCCTTTGGCATCCTGTAAACCATACTGAACTGCCAATTCAGTCAACTGTCAATTAAGTCATAAAAAATTTAGCTCATAAATACAGTCCTCTTAGTCTCTATCTCTACTTCAAATAAGATACAAATGCAATTAAATTTTACTAGGATTTGCTAGCTCATAATGTGTTTGCATATATCAAAACTTCACAATCTGGCTTAAAAGCATGAAGGAGCATTTCCCAAAATGCTCAAAAAAGTTAATTCTAGTAGTGACGTTATTAATCCCCAATTACCTTGACGTCACTTCCGTTCAAACACATTCTGTTTATGCGACTGCCATTTGGTCTGCTGGAATCAATCCAATAGATGAACTCTTCTCTGTAGTCAAAGTCTATGGCAATGACATTGTTCAGCCCCTAAAACCAGAAAAAAAAGTCCATTTATTCAAACGTTTGAATATAAACTGTTGGATAGCATTCAGAATGCAAAATACATTGCATATAATATTAAAAATGCTTTATTTTACTGACTGTGTATTTTTGAAGTACATCTCTTATTTTTCCACACATTACTTGTAAACAATCAGAATAAGACAAAAATTGTAACAGAAATAAATATGGTGACAGAGAACTATCTTGCTTCAAAAATGCAGATGACATATGAAACTAAATGAAGCTTCTGCATTTTTCTTTTCTATTGTTAAAATGAACTTTAGTGGTAAATACTTCAACTTTTGCTCAATTTCTCTGTTAATTACCACCTTTGGCATTACTTCGGCAAACTAGATGACATTAATTTTATAACAAACTCAGAAATAGCATAAAATTTATTACCTTTAATTAATGAAAACATTTCATTATTAATATAAATAAATCAGGAATTCAAAACTATGATGTTGAAAAAAGCATTAATTTTAAGTCCTGAATAAGGAAGTTTTAAATTCTTAGAAGCTATATTACAGGTACTGTGTAGATATCTATGTGTATACACATACACACAGAGGTAGTATATACATAAAATGTGAAAATCAGAGATACAGCAGGCATGTGGAAGTCTCCCATGGCTCTAATTACTAAGCCAATATATTGTAAGAAAGAGTGGTGATCATATCTGAGGTACTCCTACAGGTTGGAAAGAGCAGTCATATAATAATGGTTTTTCATCCCAAATGGTAGATAAGAAGGGTATTGCATTCAGATGATGACCCGTATTTCCTTATCTGAGAACAGGAAAGCCTTGCCCCATAATCTGATTAACATTCTGATGGGTAGTGAAATCACAATTATTCTTAATATACAAAGATGTTATCAATCAAAGACGAAGCAGCAGTGGTAAAAAGAATGGAAGCAGTTTACGCTCCTTTTAAAACCACAAGATCAGTTAATCAATTCCCTTATCAGCCCAATGACATTCTATTCTCAGGTAGCTCAGCAACCTCCCTTGTTAATGTAATTCATAATTGTAGAGAGGATGTGCTGGCCTAGCCATCTCTAAAATAAACAACTAAGAACAACAATATTTAATTGTACATAAAGTGATACACGGCTTATCTGCCAACTAATACAGTGTAATCCCATAAATCTATGTTTTGATCAAAACATAGAGGAAAAAAGTGATTAGGCTGCAGAAACCATCAGTAAAGAAAGTATGAAACAATACAGTGTTGGAGGACCGCTCTCATTTTCAGAAATCACATATCCATGCACACAGTGTTTTAACAAAACCAACTGCAGTTCTGCCAGTCATAACTGTGGTGCAAAACACTTCTCGTCCCTTTTTCTAGTGTTAGTATAAATGCATCTACAGATAAACCCTCACACCAAATCCTTAAGAAAGGAAACAACGGGTGACTGAATACAAAAGACTCAAAAATTTGTAACATTCTAGAAATCAAAGTCAGTAATTTGTGAAAAATTAGTCTTACATCTACATATTCTACAACACTGTAAAAGTTTCTTAAGTATCCAGACTATTAAAGAGAATTGACTGTCTGTAAGTCTTTGGTTTCAAGTGTTTTATTTTGGGTCAGTTTAGTTTCAATATTTATCAGAACATCAACTGCAGGTAAAATTATTTCTGTACATCTGCAATGGAGTTCTCTGTCCAGACAGCATCTCCTCTTTGTGATCTACATGTCACTTTTAAGTCCTCAGAGCATAATTCTTTGTCATTTCTCATGTAATCTGCTTTTAGAAGAGTAAGGAAGCTTTCAAATGGCATCAGCTGTATTAGTCTCTCATCTTAAACCTGTGTTTTTGTTCGTTTCTGTTTCATACAGCACATGGTATCCTAGGCCTTGATTTGCATTCCCTTGGTGCCTCAATCAAAAAAAATTGAGGTAAGAATCACAAATAATGAAGACAAAGACTCTATCTACTCTGTCTATGGAAACCCTAAGGATTTTGGTGACTAGGAATGAAGGAAATGGAAGGCAAAGAACACACATGAAACACAATTCAAACAGTTGTACTGTTTATGTATATTTGGGGGGGGTGTGAAAAAGATGAAAACACTGGCGCATAAAACTCAGAGAAGACTGAATGAGCTCCTACTTTCAGCTCCTTTACTCTGAGTTTATATGAACAACTGTCAGAATGGCAAAGCACAGATCAAATACGCAGAGAACGGTGTTTTTGCTCCTTTGCCAGAGCAGCTCTGGTATTTGACTTCATCTGGTAGATGTCTAAGAATGAGCCGATCCATCATAACATTACAAGGACAAAAAAAGTCCTTATGAGGAAGACAGCCCACCTGTTCTGCTGGTATAGCTCCCCCTTTGCTTTCAAATCTGGATGCTTGTAAAAATGCCATATTTGTAGGATCAAAGGCCAGTAGGTTCAAAAGCAGATGTATTTATTAGACTAGTAAATTAACGTGATATGGAGAAAACAGATTTTTTTCAATGGTTGGAGCTACACGGTCTCTAATGAACTGAAAAGGAGTCCATTAAATTCAAGACTTTTGAAATTCTCAGACAATCTGTCAGCACCAACCATAAAGAAAATTTACTGTTGCTCCCCTCTTTTCACAGGCTTCTATTAATAGATATACCAGCAAAAGAGGAGAGAGGCAGTGAGATGTAAATGAGAGGTAGTCAGAAAGATTTCAGAAGAATAGACTTTAACATAATGCTTGCTATGCTTAAACAAAGTCAATGTTCAATGCAAGATGGTTAATTTTGTAATTACTGTTGTGAAGACCTGAGCACCTGTCTTGTGACATTAAGATGCACAGCTTACTGACACCAGAAGTCACAAAAAGTCTAATGATATTGACTGCCAATAACTGATTTTCTAGTCTTTCTACAATTAATTAATTAGTACTCAAGGAAATACATGTCTTTATTAAAACATATTTTGGAACTCTAATCTATTGTAAGTAACTACACTTAGGTGAAGCATAGAAGCAGAGCAGAAACTGCTAAAATGACAGCTCTGTATTTACTAGATGACCTTCTACTTTTGTATTTTTTTCCAAATTTTTTTTTCCCTGTTATAATAATTTAGATTAATTATTAAAAAAATTAGACTTAGCCAAAGATATAAATTAATGTACTGTAATACTGTAAATCTTGGAATTGTCTGTTTAAATTAAAAAAAAAAAAGATTATGACAGTAAGTAGCCAAAATAATACATGGCCAAGTAGTTTTTCGGGGTTCTTTTTTGAAAACTGAAATATAGAAATTGTGAAAAACATATTGTGATGGAAGAGGATCACAAATAACATAATTTTTTAGTACATCAGAATGACTGACGAAACAACTGCCTGAGCTTTAATCATGTCAAATTCAGATAAAATAGTATATTTAAAATATTATAAAAACTCTGAAGATACTGCAGTTGTTCTATGATGCATACAATGCCAATTGTTTCTGTCAGTTTCACACTTTAGAAAAGAATAAAAGTATTGTGTTAAACTTAGAGCATGGTACTATGATTATACCTGTTTCAACAAAGTGTAGTTGGATCCATCAGTGCTAATTTTTCTTATTTCATGATGATCAGCCAGAATTAAGAAAGGTTCCTCATCTAAACCCCAGGAGAAAGAATATATTAGACTAGCTTTTACGTTAATTTATGGAAAATCAGGAATACAATGCTGAAATACAGATGGTTTGAAAAATAAATGTTACATGCTCTGATCAATGTTATGGATGAAAGAAATATTTAAAACATTCAAATGTTCTAAGAAAGATCAATGATGCAGTATAAAAATGAACAAAGCAATCAATTAGTATATCTTTCAATGTAATTTAATTTTTTTTGCCTTTGTAATATGGGAACCATACTGTATTTTATCCTAATTTAATGTCAGAGATAAAATTTGAAATATATTTCATACCACTTGTTTTAATTTCAACATTCATTTTCAAATTATCACTAAGACTATTATTTGTTATGGTTGCAAACCAAGCATGTTTTGAACATTGCTTTTTGAGATTTCAATACTCTGAACAATACAGACAAAAAGAAACAGCTATTTGGACAAACCTTGATTCTCTAATTCTGAATTGAAGCTGGATTTGGCTTTTTCACCCCTGGTTTTCTAGTTTATCAAAAAAATATTCCATCAGATACTCATTCATGCCATCACTTACTTTGAAACTTCTCTGACACTGACATATATGATAGTAAAAAAAAAAATAAAATTAAAAAAGCTATCTTTATTTTAGCTCTATTAACAGAGACCTCAGCTAGAATAAAAAAAAAAAAAATTCCTGAAAATAATTAAAACGTTATTAAAGGCTTGTATCTACTGCTTATACATTCTAGAATGTAATGTGTTGTCCAGCCTATTCTACTCTTGTACTGAATACATTGTACCACCCTGCTTGCATTTTATGTTCAACTCTTAAAGACATTCTCAAGTTCTTAAATGATCCAAGGCATCATCCTCAGCACTGACTGTCAGTGGTTTGTGGAGAATGGCTGTAACGCTCTGTTCTGTTGTAAAGAGTTTAAGGCAATTTATGCAAAAAATCAGCATTAGGCCAAACATTCACATGTTGGCACCTCCTCGCAGCACAACCATCCTTGCCACAGCACAAACAGCTTTGTCATGATCACTTTTGAAGTCTGATATATTACAACTCCAATAAACTGTACTATGCTGTATTCCAGCTCCCCTTCTCATTTGAGTGATCTATAGCTTCTAAATACATGAGTGGCTTGCAAGGCGTGAGATAGGAGTAACGCAAAAAACAGATGCTGTCTTTCTACCCTCTCCTGCATTTTTGATTACTCAGGGAAGCATCTGAGACAGGAATATGAGGCAGAGAGAGGTTCCAGTCGTCCTGTCATTTAGAAAGAATATAGAAGGTTTTTGATATTTAAAACCAAAGCACAAATAACTAACTTTGTGCAAGACTGGAATAAAACGGACTCTGCTCAAGCCAAAGATTGCCAGCACTATGAAGGAAATCCAGCAGAATGTAGTAATGGCTTTCTTGTTCCTTTCCTGTTGACATTTTGCTCTTCTTTTCACTGATCTAGAAAATCCCACTCACTGAAGTGCATAAAAATAACATCAGTGGCATAGACAGAGGATGAGGAAATAACCAATGTTCTTATATATCTTGAACTTCACTGTGTATTATGTATAAGACCGGAAGATTTCATATGCTATAAAAATAACAGATTTTGCAATTTCTATTATTTTTTTCCTGTTCCTCCTTCATACCAGGAAGTTTGAAGTACATTCTAATATTCCAAAGTTGACGAAATAAAACAGCAGAAGACTTTTAAACACTCATCATAAACATAGTATTATCATGTGACTCAGTAGTGATGTATTAACTTTCCTAATACTTTTCCAAAAAAGTTAGTAATTCAAACTTCTTAATCCACTCTAACTATTCACTACAAATGATTTGAACACAATACATACTAAAAATAGAACTTATTATTACATTCAGGTATTGAATCACATTCCTATTGTTTATTGAAGAAGTAGACTGCTTCAAAGTAACTCTGTTTATCTTGCATAAAGGGGTAACACAGACCATGGGTCTAAGGTATTTCACAAATTATTGTGGACACAGTTCTGGATTAAAAGAAAAAAAAAGTGATACCTGAAAGGGATTTGCAGGCATTTAGGTTATCAGGCTGTATTTCATACCCATCTGCACACAAGCATTTGTAGGTTCCATATGTATTGATGCATTGCTGGCTACAGGGAAATCCAGATGAACATTCATCAATATCTATACAAGTTTTGCCATCATCCTTCATTTCAGGCCAGCATTTGCACTGGAAAAGAAAAACAAATACATTAGTTTTGAATTACTCATTGACTCTGTTTGTTATTTTATGTACTTTCTTCTGAATATGTTAAGATCAAACTTTTTTATATAGTCTCACTTTTTCAAGTAACATCTTAATTGCATTGCTGTTCATACTGTTTAAAGGCAGACATACCTACATGTCAACTATTGACCTACATTCCTTTTCAACTATTGTTGGTGTGATCCTAAGTACCATTCCCTCCCAAATAACCCTATAGAATGAGTAATTATTCTTTCTTCTTTAACTGAAGTAAACCACACCTTTTCAAAAATATGGAAAGGATTCTTCCATGAAAATAATGATGGATGGACCCTTTGGAGTTCTTTATTTTCAAGTACACATGTGCTTTTTGGTGAAGGTATAAAGTTTTTAACCATTTTTCTTGAAGCACTGATAACATCTAACATTCTGTGTAACAAATACAATAATGCAAATGAGGACTCTTGAAACTGATTTTTATCGGGGTCTGATGATCTGTGGCAAGGTTAGCACATGCATTGTGAATGATGCAAAATACAACTGGGTAGACGGGTTTTGAAATAGGGGCATAATTTCATCAATGGAAAACTTTGTGTCATCTTCCCTCCTGTATTCTCCGTATTACACTCTGCAGAGCCCCATGACATGCTTTCTCCACAACGATGCTAATTCAACAAGGTTTCTGCTCTATGCAGCATAGTCTCCAGCTCTCTAGTCTATGGCCTCCCGACTAGGACATGTCTTTAGAGGTCTGAATACCTTTAAGAGCTAAGCCACATTAGACAGATTTTACTTGGTTCTCAGCGGGCTAATATTCTATTAAAAAGATGAAATGTTTTGGGGTGCAGCTAGGGTTACCTCAGAGTTAAAACCTTGGAAAAAACCCTCCCTTCTATTCTCAGCTTCTATTTACAGGTTAGTGCACTCAGTGACTAGGGTTTACATAATACCGAAGAAGTATTCCTCTTTACGTCTCAAGGTCAAAGAGCAGACTCAGGTGATTCAGAAAACACCATCACATGCAGACAATTAACAGTTCTCTTCTGCAACTAAGGCGATTATACTTTGTTTAAATATTTCTGTACGTGTCTCTGACTTGGGAAAAAAATCTGGAAAAAACTGCTGTTCCTGCTATTCACTCCTATGTGTTTTCCTTTTTCACAACTGATTTTCAGTGCTCAGTATACATTGATATGACTCGTTGTACTTAAAGCATTGTACATTCTTTGTCATAGGTTTAAAGTACGTCTTGTACCAGTTTTTTTATACAATTGGCAATTGTTTTTTACTGGAAATAAAAATGTAACGTTCTTACTACGGTGGGTAAGCTACTTCCTTACAAGGAAGTATAACCCACTGGAGTTTTATTATAGTCATGCAGAAGTTAAGAAACAGTTAAGAATTTGCATCATATTATACCACATTTCATAATTACTCACCTTGTAGCCAACAGGAAGATCCTGACAATCTTGAGAACAGCCACTAACTTTCTTACTGAGGCATTCATTAATGTGGCAGCTTTTCTCATCAGATCCATCACTACAGTCTTCTTTGTTATCACAAACATCACTTTGAGGAATACACTTGCCATTTTTGCACATAAAAAAAGAGCTGTTACATGACTGCTCTGGAAAACAAAAAAGAGAACACAACTTGGTGCAGTCTATTAGTATTCGGAATTAATTTTCTCATGGATCAGTTGCAATGCACAGATGTGACATGAAACAATTGTGTAAAAATTGAATATTCATTTATTATTGATAGTATTATAATACCTTTTTACTTTTCAGCATCTTTAAAGGTTACTCCTCTCCTGGAAAACGTGTGAATACTTCAACTTGTTACTCCCTCCTACACATTTGTTTTCATATAATTGAGAATCCCCTACATTATCTTTGCACAAAATATAGTTCTACAGTTTACAAAACTTAAAAAGTATGACTTCTCTCCCCTGTGGATGCTGAGGTGTTTAGTAACATGACTGACTGAATTCAAAGGCATTCCCTGTCTGAGGACACATGTACATGTTTTTTCCCTGTTTGGTAAAACTTGAATATGTTGTTTCAGCTACGTTCAGGTTCTTCAAATCAGAATTAGAACACTTAAATATAAGGCAGGTACGTTGCCTTACCTCAAAGCAAATTAGTGATTTCCATCAAAATTTATATAAATGACTGGGCTACTATGCAATAAAGTCATAAGATCTAGACAGAAGAATTGGTCTTTCAAAAAGCCACAGAATAGAATATCATATGCAGATCAGGATTAACGTACCTCTCAAAAACTAGTCAGACCTTAGCAAACTTACTCTATAAAAACAATCACATTTGCTCAGTAATTTACTCATAAAAATAAACTGGTGTTTATTATTTATAGGAAGAACAACTTTACATCCTCTTTTGTATGGTCTACTTCTGTGTGATAAGTATATTAAATATAGTAAACATTTTCAGGGCAAGCTCGGAATTTTGGCAATTATTACATTAATATCATCTTATTTTAGTGCTAACAGAACTTATGCATTAAGGAACCAGAAGCCGTCTTCTGCCATAGGAACTGGTGGCTTGAACTTTCTGAACTGAGGATTTGGATGCTTAGGACCGACAACATATTCTCCTTGCAAGACATAAGGAATATCACCACAAAAGCACTGGAGATTTAAGCTATGAGGTTTTACTTTTGCCTATCTAGAATCCTAAACCATTGCTTTCCAAAAAGAAAGGTCACACACATTATTAATAAAATTAAATATGAACCTGAAATTTTGCATTTTATGTTTATAGGTGCTTCATCAGAATGGTCTGGGCAGTCAAAATCACCATCACATTGCCATTGGGAATTTAAAAGGCATCTTCCATCAGCACAAGTGAACTCTCCAGGATGACAGTGACGATACCCTAGAAATACAGCAACGAATGACTTCATACTTTGCTTCATACTTTCAACATAAAATTTTGCATATATGAGGCAATGTAAGTAAAAGTATCTTTTGTTCCATAAAGAGATACAAAGCATTGTACGCTTGTACACGAGTGTCTACCAACAAAGAGAGAAGTCAAACATCTCCTATGCAGCACAGTATAGTCATGGAACAATTCCCACATATCTAAAACATTTATGCAGCTCTCAATCAAACACATTTTATTTTAGGTGTAATTTAACTTTTTGCTATTATTAGAAAATAGCTTTCTAACAGACATTTTAGAGATTACTATACTCAGCAAATATTTTAGCGATATGCTTACTACTATATGCTTTCCCTTTAAAACATGCAGAACACTAATCATTTTAACCATACTAAACATGCATTTTCTAAGATGGCACAAAATAAATATATAAAAAATGTATACATTTTCAAAGTTAAAGTGGATTTCTAACAGAAAAATATAATCTATAATTAAGTAAAGAGACCACAGACAGGCATTTGCTTCTTAGAATACAGTTGTCTAACCTAGACTTCAAAAACAACAAAACAGTAGAAAAATACAGAAAAGTCAGCACAAATCAATTTTTTTCTATCCAATTTTGAAACATGAAAGTTGAGAAATTCTAAGAGGGAAAATCACCTTCTATTTGTAATTTATTTACTTCTAAGATTCATTACACTAAAATAACTACCAAAAAACTTATGTTCCTGTTTGGGAAAGAAAAGTGTAACTTTTCCTGTATTCTATATGTATAAATTCTGCCTCAAATAATCTGTAGTCCTTTAAAAGAGCCTTGAAAACAAGCCTTAATTTAGTTTAAAACTCAAGAAAAAATATGAAGTAAATATGGTTATAAAGTAAGAATTATGCAGCAACACTCGTTCCGACTATGAAGAATGATTTTGCAACTTTTCTGAACAAAATCCAAATTATGCTGAATTATGTTTAACATTGTTTCCTTTTGAAAAAAATGCAGATTTTAAGCTCAAAAAATTTGATTGTTTCAAGAAATATATCCAAATTACAGTAACTACTGAAGCTTTGATTTAACTACTGAAGCTGTGAGTGTGAACATCTGAAACAAGCACTGACAACTTTCTACTCTCTAGAAGAAGAAAGTTAATATTTGTTCTTTTTTTCTAATTACTGTATTTCCTGCTATCTAGCAGAGCTTTTTTTCTGATAGCAGATGGAGACATAACATTTGACTGTCTGGGATGAGATATCAGTCTACATCAAAAGCTTTAAATCTCTTGTATATCTTCAGGTGTCATTTAGAAATGTGTTAATGTACTATTTTCAAAATCCAGTATGGCATTACATCAATTACAAATTTTGGAATTAAAATAATTCTGTGGTCTCCTGAAGGTGTTTGTTTTTTTTCTCTTTTTTTACATAGATCATGCTTGAAAGAAGATAGGTCGGCTTGATACAGAAAAAAGGTGAAGTTTTTTGGTTGTCCGAGCCACCTTTGAGTGCAAAATTTTACAGATCAACAGCTTTACCTCACCTCTGCAGCATTTCACAAGCATGTCATCATCAGACAGGTCATGACAAATGTGCAGAACAAGGGCTTCTGCTTAATATTGCATCTGCTCTGGATGACAGGACATAAACAAACTGGAAACTGAAATCAGAAAATCCTTCCTATTCCTGTATTTGTCTTTTGATTAGCCACATAAACAAAGTATTTCATCTCCTTGATGAAATTTCACATTCTTGAATAAAGCTCTTAAATTATTTTTTTTTAATTTTCAAGTACATCAGAAATACTTTACAGAATGAGACAGTTGATCATATAGCTCTGTATTTTGTCTCTGACAGCAGTAATAGGAGGTGCAATTTAGGTAGAACGTATTTTGTTCTCCGGCTCTCCCCAGCTTGATTTATTGCTACTTTTTTGTTTACAAGTAATTAATTATTAAGATTTCATTAAAAAGACAGGATTATACAATGGAATCAAAACTCATACCAAAGAATTTTTCAAGGATTAGAATGATTATGAACTTTTGAAATCTGTTTAGATGTAAATTCTGATACAAGTAAAAACTGGTTACTCCAATTACCAGTCCCATTTTTACATTTTATCTGAATAATACTCTAGAAAAAAAAAAAGAAAATATACCTTTCAGTGATACAGATGGAAAAAAAAAAAAACTTATAGATTTTAAAATGGATTCCCTTAATTCAGCTTTTAGGAACATATTTCAAACCAAATTTCATCCCATTCAGTAGACTGACTGCTGAAGAGTTGGGTTTTTTTTGGTTTTAGGGTTTTTTTTGCTATCAAGATGCAAAGCTCTGGCTCTATAATCTAATAGAGCTATGATCAGGCTACCTAGTTTGCAGTCAAATCAGAAATCACAAATTTTGGTGAAGTTGGCGGTTTATTTTTACATCCTGACAACACCCTGAAAAGTGTGTTTTGGAATTTGATTTCTACTCTCTCTGAGTAGTTCCCTTTCTCATAAAAGAATGTAACTCTTTCCTAAAAGTACAGTATAACAAGTTTACCATACTAGTCACACACTAAGGTGTGTATTTGATTATCAGCTAACAGAAAATTGCATTGGAGGAGCACAACACATAAATGTTGCTACAGATCTCAGTTTACTCTGTAGAAATTAAATAGAGTTAGTGCCTGAAGGCAGGTCCATACTACAATTAGATCAGGAGTTTGTACATTCTCTGCTTCCGTTGCCGTTTCCTCTTTCTGTCTCTTTCCAAAAGTCTGTCAAATTATCACTATTTTTTTGTCAGTAATTTAACGGACCATGCATATATAGGGTGCTACAGAAAACAAACAAAATATACCAAGAAGTGGTAAGCATGTAGAAAAAAATGCACCCATTTCCAAAGTTTGTGACTGTTTAGTTTAAATACTTCTTTAGGAATTGAAGACTGCTTCCAAGTAAAATCTGATCAGAAAGGTTCTCCTACTCCCCCACCATTCAATTTGATCATATAGTGCTAAACAGAGGAACAAAGCCCTAATGAGTCACTTTCTATAAAGGGTTCTGGCATGCATAAACTATTACTAATGGAGGAAATATAGTCTACAGTTTCATTATCGTGTTGGTCCACTCTCACGGACCCCTTTTGGCAAAAAGGCCTAGATAACCACATCTGTTAAGATAGCAATGTGAGTATGCAGCACGTGCTTTGAACCTGGCAAGATGTGTACACCAAGCGGAGTTGCCTGTCTGACCTTGTGGAGAGCTGCAGCCCCCTGTGGATTGGTGGGCATGCATGCTAGCGACCCCGTGTCCCAGGCTGGGGCAGAAGGTGCACATAACTCTGCCCTGTGTGTGTCTGTGTGCTCAGAACTTTTGGGGACCAATTATAAAATGGTGTTTAAAGACATGTAAGATCTATCAAAGTTCTGCAGGTGTGATTTACCCACCGTGTTGCTGCTATTGATACTGAATGCATAGTTCACCAATTTCCAATTAGTTATCTGTCATGAATAATTCATAGAATCATAGAACCATAGAATGGTTTGGTTGGAAGGGACCTTAAAGGCCACCTAGTTCTAACCCCCCTGCCATGGGCAGGGACACCTTCCACCAGACCAGGTTGCTCAAAGCCCCATCCAACCTGGCCTTGAACACTTCCAGTGATGGGGCATCCACAGCTTCTCTGGGCAACCTGTGCCAGTCCCTCACCACCCACACGGTGAAGAATTTCTTCCTTACATCTAATCTAAATCTACCCTCTTTCAATAACCTGCTTTGATCCTGATGTGGTTTAAGCTACATGAACTAAGTGGTTTTTCCCTACCACAGCTTACTGTCGCAAACTGCTCCTTTCAAAACACCAAGTAGTTTACGTAAGTGAAAAGCAAGTGGAGTTTGCTAGGAGAGGTTTGTTTGTTTCCTTCTTTCTTCAAGGATCCAGAAGTCTAGACTGGCAAGCAGTGTGACACAGTAAGGGAGGAACAGCAGAACGAAACAGTTGGTGATGAGAACCTAATATCCACCCTAGATGCATTTCAGGATTTTACTTCACGCTAGTTCTGTTCTGCTGTTGTGGACTTCACGCCTGCTAGTGACTGAAGTATATCAACTCACTCAGCTTCAGAGGTTTTTTGTGGTTTTTCTCCTACCAGTTCACTTGCTTCGACACTGCTCCATGTCAGTCAAAACACAGTACGTGGGGGTGAGCGGGAGATTGGTTTCAAAGGTGCTCTCCTGATCTGACCTATCTAATGATGATGCGTCAGGAATGGCTGTGGCCTCTTAAGTACCAGCCTATTTCCGGTGAGCATAGAGAGAGAAAGGACAATGTGGTCACTGCCTAGTTCATCACAGGAGCAGATTCTTGCCATGTTATATACAGTTCTAAGTGATGTTGATGAAATCTGTTCTCTATGACAAATATCAGACAAGTTCTTATTTGCTACATCATATTATTTTCTTAAAATGTTCCATTACATGTTTGACTCAAACTTTACATGAAAAATTTTACTAAATGCAAACACCAAACAGACTTTTTCCTACAATCTTTGGATGTCTACTTACTTCATTTACGCACATAAACTCTTCAGGTGGTGTATACAACAGAAATGCCTAAAATACATAGCTAGCTATCTTCTGCTGTGGTTCTCATCTCTTGAGCAAATTTAACAGAGTAAATAAGCAATATAGATTTCAACTGCACAAAACCAGGCATGATAATCAATAATTTGTCCTTTTGGACAGAATATTTGCTCTATATTTTCCATAAATATTATCTATATAGATGAATGTTTCTGAGTATGGCCTAGATATACCGTACAGACATTCATATAAGAAATCCTAATTTCATATGAATGGTGAAAATTAAACATTCACATACAGCTTTAGTGGGTATCATTTAACTGCAGTGATAATCATGACAGATGTTTCGTTATTTCTATTATTTGATAGAAAAAATTGTGTATAGAAACCAAGACAAAAAAGATACATAAAAAAGATATACTTAATGAACAAGAAATTATAGACTGTACATTTTTTAATTCTATTAAATGTTATTAGCAACCAACTGTAAGTCACAACTATAGTAAATAATCTGTCACTGTAGCTCCAGCTCCAAGCTAATACGAAGTTGTATTCATTAATGCATAATTTAAAAGTTAACATTAAAACAATTCTAAAAAGTAAAGAGCTTTCTTTTTCAATAGCGACTTAAAGTAACAGACCTTGTAGAAGGCCTTACAATTAACAGTCTGAAATTATTCTGTTTACTCTACTTTTGTTATACTTGCCACATTCCAGAGATTCATCTGATCCATCTCCACAGTCATCATCATGGTCACATACAAACTGTTTGGGAATGCAGACTTTGTTATGGCACATGAAAGCATTCTCGTCACAAGTGTTATTAGGAGCTAAGGAAAATACAGTACATAAAAATAAATGAAATTGAGAACAGTAAGATACACAGCCATTTTCTTACAGAAAGATGAAATCAGTAGTTAGTCTGAGTGGCTTCCATGGAAATAACCGTAACTTTTGAGTCATACAAAGAACACCACAGAATTCAATAACAGAAAAAGATACTCATCATCACAAAGATAGCTAAACAAGTAAGGATAGCAATAATCTCATGTAATGCAAGACAGAGAGGCTTCAGAGGTTGATGCTGTCTACAACTAACCTATGGTCTGCCTCTGAGGAAAAGAACATTTGGGAAGTACAGATGTCCTTCCTATGTGACTCTGCTCCTGAACAAAAGCTCTTTAAAATCCATAAATAGTCAAAATATAACTCAGCCTAGAAATGGTAAGTTATAGAATATGCATTCAGTGGAGAGAGCATATTTCAATATTTTTAGCCTATACCATTTTTATATACATTAATAAAACAAAACCCCTAATGAAACGGCTACTGAACTGCTGACACTTTTAATAGAACTGTATCTCAGCAGACTGGAAGTAATAGTTAGTAGGGCAAGAAATGTCAAGATCTGAACAATTAGCCAGAATAAATTGGAGACAGAACTGTATCTCCCTTTTTGATGCACAACCTCCCTGATATGTAGCAGCATTTTCTTCAGGAAGAGCAGTAGAATTGCATAGTCAATAACGTGCTAATTTTCATTAGTAAACATGCTGTATAATGTCTATGACATGATACACATACTGATCTTCAGCTGGTGTGTCTCAGTATATATTAACAAAACCTGAAGATGTTAGGTTGATTAAAACACTGAAGGATCCTGGTATATATGCTCAGATATGGTCTATCAATTTTTACTAACAATCCTGACAGTACAAGGGCATGATACCACAGACACAAACAGCATCTAAATATTGTAAAGGCAAAAGTACTAAGGAAAGAGATACTATACTTTTTTAACATGCAAACATACCACAGCCTGCTGTCGACAGTTCATCACTTCCGTTAGGACAGTCTCTTTCGCCATCACAAAGCCAGTGTTGGGGAACACAGGCATGGGAGCCTAAGCAACTGAATGTATCTGCTGCACAGGTCACTGAACCTGAAAAAACATTACAAATGAGTCTTGAACATGTTTGAACTGATTTTTTTCTAAGGCAATGGGTAATGACTGAGTAAGGGGGTTTTATTTTAAAATAACAAGACTGAAAAATCTGAAGTCATTTTAATCTCTCTTTTCTTCTTGTAATTCAGATCTGTCTCCTGTTCCCAAGAAGAAATACAGCCTTAACTCTCCCCTTTTCACAACGGGTGTGGGTTTTTACTTCTTCAAGAGATGGTCTACAATTTTATTGGTGGGCTTTCTTGTAATAAGAGATCTACAATGTATTGCAAGTCAAAATATCAAAAGAAGTAATTCTGAAGAACCTTAAAAGAAGAAAAATAAACAATGTATGTTGCAGTGACACTTTGCCATTTGCTGGCCTTTGTTTTCCTCTCTCTTTTTCTATTTTCTGCTCTAAGTTTCCTATTAAGCTTCAGGCCTTGATGTTTCTTAGGATTTCATATTGTTCTATAGTAGTCCCAGACGAAGTGCTTGTCTTATCATTTCACACCTTCTCCTTTTCCTAGGGGAGACAGGCAGAAAGAAAGCTTCCCTTTCAAACAGATATTGCCTCCAATGCCCCAGTCCTCAGCATAATCTGAATATCATGAAAAAATGTATTGTAGATGGATATCAACTTGAAGTTAATATAGTCATTCATTCATATTTTGCCATATGAGAACAGTATAATTTCCACCTTTGTCCTTTTCATTTGTTGGCATTTCTACATCTGCGTTTAAAAAACTATTTGAACGAACCACAACTCTGAACATAAGCTGAAGAGGTTTCTTCTCTGTCTACTTAACACTTCCAATAAAGATATCAACAATATTTTTACTGTGATACCACACAGGAAATATGGAATAAAATACTCTTTGTTGAATGGACTTACAATAAGACAATTTTTGAAGAGGAACAAATATTTAAAAGTTGAAATTTTAAAAAGAAAATCTTAAAATACAGCATAGATAAGGATGGAACCAATGTAAAACATATCATGAAATAGTGAATTCTTTTCAAAAGAAAATCACATTGTGTCAAGTTATACTGTCACAAACACATTTCCAGTCAACTGAGTCCCAGAATGAAAGTAAAATTTTCAATTCCTTATGCAATTTGAAGGGTTTTGGAATTTTAGAGGAATATTATATAATAATGCTTATGACTGTATACATAAAAATTTAAAGGGAATAGGAGAATGAGCTGGGGTGGGGTGGGGGGGGAAGCTACTTCAGAGTCTTTAAGCACCTACTACTGAAATGTAAAACTCAAATAGTAATACAGGGGTTTTACCTCAAGGATGGGAATTGGAGAAAAGTTTGGTTCTCCTTTTGTCCATGCTGGTTGTGTCATTCATATTTTCACTGATATGCTACACACAAATCATATAGTCCTCATAAAAATGTATCTAGCTGCTGGTTGGAAGGGGCTGGGGAACGATATCCTCTAATTTCCTACCCTTAAAGCACATGCTCTTTGGAGTCGTTGTAATTGTTCCCTTTCCACCACCTTCTCGGATCACTTGGTCTCTTTCAACATGTATGATCTGACACAATACAGAACTAAAATTATTCAGCTTACCACAAACAGCATCACTCTCATCTAAACCATCTCCACAGTCATCCTCACCATCACAAGTCCATTGCTTAGAGATGCATTTGTTCGCAGAGCAAGCAAATTGATTCCATGAACAAGACGAATCTAGGAATGACACCAGACACTGCATTTGTTAGGTTTACAACAGCACTGCATTCCCTGTGTTTTCTAGTACAGTTTAGGAATCTCCAGGTTGCTCCTTTCTGTCCTCTCAATTTTAGTGTATTAAAACACTCAAACACAGTATAATCCTAATTTTGGTATTCAGGATGCTACCAGTCTGTCTAAGAGTTTGCATTCACCAACACATTTATACAAATAAATAAATAAATAGTAAAACATTCAAAACACACTCCAATATTTTAAAACATTTTGCTAGTGAGATGAGGACAAACGCTTTAAAAAGATAAGTCTGGTTTCTGTATTTGACTTGGATATTACAACTGTAGTTCACTGCTTTATTTTGGTAGTTGGACAGAGATGGCAGAGTCCAAATTTTCTAACACAGGCTTCCTGCTGGTATTGCAGTATTTAACTCCATCTTTGAAAGACTTCATGTTCTTTTCTCTCACAAGAAAAATTGCTGGTTTTGCATTCCGTTGTGCCATCTACACTTTTGTGTACATTGAAAATAATAAATATTATTATTATGTCCTTTTCTGAAAGCTTCAAATCATCCACTTTTTCCTAGACTTCCTTCTTTAAGAATAAAATTTATTTTTTTTTTAATTGGTGACAACAAATTTTAATATTAACAATAAAAAGAATTATAGGTAATGCAATCTGAATTTAAAAGTAGAGTAGAGTATTGTGACAAGTACCTCAAAATGTGTAAGAGCAATAAGTAGGGAAAAAAGAATTGACTAAACCCCTTTCCCTCTCTCTCACAAAAATCAGTTAATAGGTTTTACAATATTGCATATAAGTATGCATATGTAATAAAACCTGGAAATGTAAACACTGAGTTAAGGTTGATTAATGCGGTCAACACAAAACCTTCTGATTTTCATGCTGCACAGCAGTTCCTAATTTTGAAGTAGTAAGATGTATATATACAATGTAAACTGCAAACCAAACATAGAAGCATGTTAATGGAAACTGGGTCATGAAGAGAGTAACATATAACTTTCAGTCATGCTAATTGGTAAAGAAAAACAAAACAAAACAAATTTCAGGTTTTATTTAAATAGGGAATAGGAAAAATTGATATCGCTTTTTGCTGTTCTGCTACAATTCAATTACAGAAATAATCCATTCATTTAAGCCATTCAAATTCAAGCTAAAAGTCCAGCTGTCACTAGGACCAAAACCAACCTGCACTGCTCCTGAATTAGGTAGAGTTTAAAAATCTTAAGTAGTCTGAGACAGAATGGACCCTTAACTTGGTTCAAAGTTTATGCTGTATTTTATTCACATCACTTTCATTGTTAATTTAAATAATTCATGGAATCATAGAATGCTTTGGGTTGGAAGGCACCTTTAAGGCTCATCTAGTCCAACCCCTCTGCCATAGGCAGGGACATCTTCAACTCAACCAGGTTGCTCAAAGCCCCACCCAACCTGGCCTTGAACACTTCCAGGGATGGGGCATCCACAGCTTCTCTGGGCAACCTGTGCCACTGCCTCACCACCCTCACAGGGAAGGATTTCTTCCTGATATCTAATCTAAGTTTTCCCTCTTCCAGTTTAAAGCCATTGCCCCTTGTCCTATCACTCCATGCCCTTGTCAAAAGTCCCTCTCCAGCTTTCTTGTAGGCCCCCTTAGGCACTGGAAGGCTGCTCTAAGGTCTCCTTGGAGCCTTCTCTTCTCCAGGCTGAATAACCCCAGCTCTCTCAGCCTGTCTTCACAGGAGAGGTGCTCCAGCCCTCGGATTATCTTTGTGGTTTCCTCTGGACTTGCTCCAACAGGTCCATGTCCTCCTGGTGTTGGGACCCCAGAGCTGACGGCAGTAGTGCAGGGGGGTTCTCACCAGGGCAGAGCAGAGGGACAGAACCCAATTATACACGTATGATTTCTGAAGCAAAGAAATGTCTATTTTTATGTCATAAAGGTATATTTTGTTTACTTCCTGTTGGGGTAAATATACTGATATGAACTCATTATACCTATAAAGCTGTTCTAATGAGGAATTCTGAAAAATTAGTGAAATTGTTAAATACTAAAGCCATAGAAAAGTTTGTACACAAACATATCTTTAGAGGAAAAAAATTCTGATAGGGCTTTCATTTGGGCACGAGATAGGGTTTAAGATATTGGCGGCATGAAGTAATAGAGTGTTGCATCTGAAAATATAGTATTAAAGACCTTTTTATATAGCTGTAGATTAAATCTCTGAGATATAAATGCACACTTATTTCTGTTTTCAAAGTGCATTAATGATTACAGAAACACAAATAAGATAAAATGCTCACCACAGTGTAATTCATCTACTCCATCCTCACAGTCTTTCTGCCCATCACAAAGCCAGGTGGTCAGAATACATCTTCCACTAGGACAACCAAAATAATTTTCTTCACATGTGGGTTTGTTTTGAACTGTGATAAAATAAAGAATGTAATGTAAAATGGTCTCTACTAGTATGATTAGGAGCCTAATACATTTCTGCTAAATTTCTGAATACGAACGGACAAAGTGTTTATGTCCAAAAAGGCAAAAAAAAATACTATTTATATTATTTAATAGTGTTCATACAAATTAGAAAATCGTGATAGCTAAGTAGTTTAGGGAGCTGAAATACTTCATTTAGAGAAGAACCAGAGCACAGCTTCAAACTAAATTAAAAGGATCTATAGAGGAAAGTAGTTTATTTTACCTGTTTTGAGCTCAGGTAGATCAACATTGCTTGTTGTTTTACACCAGCTGAAGAAATTGCCCTTCTGATCTGTCTGCCATCATCTACAAGATACCCTTATTGTGACAGTATTTTTGTCACATTCACTGGGATAAGCTAAAAGTCTGATGCACACACTGACTAACTGGAGCTATACTACTGACGTTGGAGCCAGAGATTTAGACACTGTCACAAATTAAAAAGTTCTTCCTTGCCTTTTTTTCTTTGTAGAGCAGTTTCATGATGTAAGCACAAATATTAGTCTAATGAGTGGCACAGATTATTTTCAAAGTCTCAAGCAAGGTCTTTGCCTGGGAAAACCCCGGTGATACACACTAGTTCCAAGCATTGGAGATCATTAAAGCTCTTTGCAAAGGTTTGTATTATTCCCTTAGCGTATTGGGGCTATTGACAGTGGTTTTGGTGTCCCCCTCCCTTAAAAAGAAAGTTAAAGTTACCATATTTACGGCTTCTACAGCTGTATGAAGAGAAAAATAAAGAAAGAAGTGGGATGTCTATGATGACTGGGTAGATATTAAAGATTCTCTAAGTATAGCCACCTCTAAATGAATATTTTGCCTTAATTTTCTGTAAGAACAATGACACTGAACGAAGACTGTTAATGGGAATTATCATGTTCATAATAGAAACAACACTGAAAAACTTAATGTGCCAAAGTTGGTCAGTTTTGAATGAAATGGCAAAGGAAATCACATGTAGGTTGAATTGGAATGGTACTGCTTCCAAGTAAAGGGAGGAACGATCTAGGCAATTAGTCACACATTATATTACAGAACATTTTGGCATACATTTGAAAGACAGAATAAAGCAATACAAATAAACAGATGACGGAATAAAATGCAACATTAGTTTACTTATGCAACATTAGTTTACTGAAGCTATAGCACACTGCCTTCAAAATCCTCTTTGGTATGGAAAAAAAACCCCTATAGACAAAGGAAATACAGTAAATCTAAGCTATTTCGAGCTAAATGAAGCATTATATACAGCAAATTCTGAAGAATTAATAGATAATCTGGAGAATATGGAGATTAGAATGGAAACTATAATTTAATATGCATCTGGTTTATAGGAAGGATTAAAGTTCTTAACGTCAGGTTGATTGACATTGGTTCTGAAGTTCTAGGTTCCTTCTGGATCCTGGCAATATTTTCATCAATAAAGTTGGCACAAAGCATACGAGAATTCTAACAGAAGCTTCTGGTGACAAAATGGGATTATCACACAGAAAAACAGAATACTAAATGGGAATAATCAGATTATGTTAATTACTAGGCAAAAAATAGGTGGTATTTAACAACATAAAATCAAAAATTTTATTTTTACAAATTAGTAATATTCATTAATTAGTAAATACTTATTTTTACTAAATACTAATTCTTAGAAAGAAAAACAGATTTATCGGTCACAGGAGCACAATTAAAATTTAGCATGAGTCAATTATGAAAACAAACAAACAAAAAATTAAAATGTATTTGCACTGCTACAAGGCAAAAATAAGACCATCTGCTATACTGGATACTGGTCTGGTATATTCAAGAGAGATGCAGGTTGAGATTACTAAGATGACATAGACAGATACCACTATCTTGAAAGCAGGAATTCTAAAATACCTTGGCTTATTTGCCATTGTAAGTAAAGAGTAAGGATATGATTACTGAAGGACTACAAGGACCTTCTCAGCATTGGAACATCTATAAACTGGAATACATGTGGACTAGAAATTAAAAGAATTAATGATAAACTCAACCTGGAGGAAATAGAAAACTAGACATTACAGTTTTCTTCAGAGAAAAGCAGTAGTAATTTGTAATAATTTGCATAATCTAATGAAACACAAAATAAAGACTGGTGAAAAAACTGCATTGAGTATTATATTAATCTCTGTATTAAATAAAACAGTATTGACTGAATAAACATTTTAACACAATTAGAAAAAAGAACTAGAAATATAGGATTATATTTTTTTTAAAAAAGTAAACTAGATTTTTCTTTTTCTCTTTTTCACAGTTACCTGGACATTTTAGTTCATCTGTATAATCTCCACAGTCATTAGATCCATCACATATCCATTCCGGCAGTATACAAAGTGAAGTTGAATTACAGCTAATAAATCCTGAAGATTTTATTCCAAGTTTATAGAAGTAAGCACAGTTTGTATTATCTGGAAACAGACAGTAAATTACTATATCACACCTAATACAGTTTGAGAGCCTTATAGTTTAGTTTGAGTTTCCACAGACCATGCAGATGCTGGTATCCAACTAGTAATGACTATGAATTAACTGCTATATAACAAGGAATAATCATGGAACAGATGCTATGATGAAGCACAAACACAAACTTACTACAGTTCTTTTCATCTGAGGCATCTGCACAATCAATGATCTGGTTGCACTGTGCTGATTTTCCAATGCAAATCCCATCTGCACAATGGAATTCTGTTGAAGCACATGTTGAATCTGTAACATATGGTCACAAAAGATGTAAATTTGTGTACTGAACAGACTCTTTAGATGCATACTATATGTATAACGTTTAAACCTTCTACCTTTTAGAATGAGGCATTTAGAACACACTGTGCCTTCCATAGCTAAAAATTCAGTAGAAATAAAAGGTCTAATAAACTTGAAAGCACAAGTTTCTGATTTCTAAATTTATTTTTTGAGCCTAAAAGTCTCTCTCTAGATAATTCAACTCTATTTGAGATAATCACCATGTGAGGAAGAACCACCACTTTCAGGACCATCTATGAATCTCTAAGATTTCTTTCATGTTACCCTAGGTTGGGGGTTTTGCCTGTATGCCTTTTTCTCTGCTCATATTCAGCTAAATGAATAAAAATCACGCAGTGCTTTCAAAAAAATGCTAGTTACTACAGCTACGTAGGTTTTATCTACATATTGTGGAATAATTTCTCCTCCAATCTTTCTGAATTGTAACTGAGGATCTGTGTTGTCTGCTAGCTAGTCTTTATTCATTGGCTGATGCACAGATATAAATATTCATGTTTTAAGACATAAAAAGAAAAACAATTCCAATATAAAAAGGAGAACCATTCTAGTAAGTTGTGCAAAGGACAGACATTGCCATGCATCTGAGAAGCAAAGGAACAGAACACTAGCTAGTTCAAAGAAGAAACAGTGCAGGAGATGCAGAGAAGAAATCACCCATCTTTCAACCCTTCCATCTGTAGTAAAGATGGTCTCTGATTTATTACTTCACAGAAGCAGCAGCAACTATATTTTGAGTTTTCCATAGCCAAAACCACGCTCCTCCTAGAGGACTGCAGGAGTAAACCAAAACTGGTCTTCCTATCAGTCCCAATATATGCTTTCTTAAACATACCAGTGTGCACCTGATTGTCTTTGAATTCTAACAAAGTAAACCCCAGCACCTGTAATTCCAATAAAGTTATATGCATTTTCTAGCTACTTTTATTTACATACTAAGTATTTACAGAACAATACTCTGAAACCACCTTGGAAGTAACTGTCATTTACCTTTACAGTCAAATTCATCAGAGTTGTCACCACAGTCATTTGCACCATCACATACTTTGTTACTTGAAACACAGCGACGATTAGAACATGGCTTGAAACCTTTTCGACAGCCCCTGTTTTCTGGAAAGTTAAGCACAAGCACGTAATTTCATTTAGACACTTGATATGTAATAAAAATAGGCTGACATTAAAACCAGACAAACATCCTAGAAAAACATTTTAAATGAAAATGCATTTGAAGCTACAGGAAAAACTTCAGAAATTGTTCATTTATTGTCCAGCAGAACTTGGACTGATAAACAGATAAAGGATAATACATGAAAGCATGATGAGAAAGAAACACAAAAAATTAAAAATGAAAGCCTAGTTCCCAGTTTACATTATCTTGTGGTATAAAAAGCCCATGTGCCTTAAATTCATTTGTTTTGACAAGCTTTTGTCAGGCATGTGACAATATTTGCATATAGCATCAGTAATTCTACCGTATAGAAAGAAATATACCAAATTTGCCCGAAACCAGATTAGGAATAAATGGAGAGTAAAATAACAAAAAATATTAGCAGAAAAGTTTCTGGATTTCTGAATATCAATACTACAAGTGTTCTGCTCAGGTAGGTACACTATTGAAGAATATGTGAATTTTACATATGTTGATATGTTCGAAAATTCAGGAATGATTTACTAAAGCCCTAACCACTGTAGAAGCCATGCCACAATAACAACTAACTAACGTTCATTGGATTAGTTAATCAATAATAATGAGTCCAGCATCCTGTACTTTATCAGATTCAGAAAACAACATACTGTATATGACGCAGTGCATGACAGAACCACTGTTCTTCCTGCTTTTTCTGAAGAGTAACAAAAAGTTCATTACAGTTGATTTAAATCAGGTTAAATGTACACTGTCACACTACAAATCAACAGAATGTCCTTCATAAAATTATGCGGCAAATACATGGAAAGACAAATTGTTGGATCTTGGATTTATATTTTTTCAGTATTGTAGAATAAACTATAAAATAGTTCTAGCAGCTCGGTAAACCTCAGACAGACTACTGACATATAAGACAACTTCTTTAGAATTACAAGAGTATTTTGAGATTCCTCACCAGCTACAGCCTTCTTATTTGCTCCCAGATGACTTTCTATTCCTTCAACCTACTCTCCTCTCCTAACAAGGTAAAAGAAACTATATGAAACTTTAATCTTTGTTCCATGAACTGTGGATTTTGAGTGGGGTGTTTGGTTGGTTGTGGGGTTTTATTTTGTGTGTGTGTTTTTTTGTTCGTTTTGGTTTTTTGGGTGGATTGTTTGTTTTTTTAATTACTTATGTCTAAAGCAATATGCATAAATACAGATACATCAACACACACTTAGTATGGAAACCTAAGAACAATTCACAGACAGAAGTAATTTACTTTTCAATGCTTTGAAGCTGTCACTTATAATTCAAGGGCCTTTCCCCCCTGGTAACTAGCAGTGTTTTGTACACTCCATGTTCTTATTTCCTTGTCTGATGTGTTACCTTTTTTCAGATTCAAACAAACCAACCTCCTTAGTTATCTATATGTAGATGATCTGATGGAATGCTACTGTTAGTTTTATATGACATGATCAAAGCAACTATCACATAGAAGTTTGAAAGCTAATGGGACACAAACTGAAGACAAAAGAAGAAAAAAAATACATGGTATCAGTTGCTATAAGTTGCTATACTCAGATTTTTGGGTTAATTTTTTTAAGGAAAGGAAAGAAAAAAAAAAAGATCAAATCTATTCCATTTCTTTTTTCCAGAATCAGCCTTGGCTATTAAAATAGCAGAGTTGAACTCCAGGAATCAAAGGAGATATTTTCATAAAACTATAGAGGTGGCAGGTATAAAAGTAATGGGTGGGTTTGAAGGGACATGAAATTGTTCATAGGGGAAACAGAAGAGACACCAAGGCTGTGATATGGATATACAGAACAAGATAAAGGCCAAGAGTTACAGGCACACAGGTAACAAGGAGATTTCACTTAATGTGCAGATTACATGAATTCACTAAGGTGATTCAGTGATTTAGGAAAATTATTGGAACAGTAGTGTTTTACACACTGCAGCAGGCAAACTTGGACACCAAAACCTGGAAGTGATTCAGTTAGTGATTATCAGGGAAAAAAACAAAACAACCAAAACACACAGATAAGGAAAGAATCCCTTGGGAAAATTGTGCAAGTAATGAGCAGACACCCTTACATCTAACCTGTTGAGCGATGCAGACTGATTGGTGTGAAAAATAATGATATTATAAAGTTAAACAGAAAAGTGACTGGGAAGATAACTATTACACAGCCATTTTTGCATTTTATAATACTTCTATTTTAATGTTTTCTATTCACAATCAGAGAAAATCTTATTAAATATGGAAACTTAAATAAAAACTACTAAATTAAAGTTGAAAATCCTCAATTTTTCATCTTTGAAAAAGCAGCTAGATGTATTTTTCTTTATTTTTTTGTTTTAGAGTCAGAAATACAGGAACATTTGAGATACTTCTTATTAAATATAAGTCAGCTAATACAGGAAGTTTGCAAGGAAAATATGTTCAGGTATAAGTTACGTCTATCCATATAATGTCAGGGGGTTTTTTTTAATGTGTGAGTTGGCATTTTCTTCTTGTGCATCTTGGCGAGCAGTTGGTATGAATAAATAGAAAAGTCACAGAGGAACCAATAGAAGCACGTATAATCAAATAAGAATGTGAAGGTGAAATATCTGGAAATACTTACCACAGTAGAAAAGTTTCTCATCAGACTTGTCCTTACAATGAGCAATGCCATCACAAGTCAGCTGATAATCAATGCATTCACCATTTCCACATTCAAACTCTGAATAAATGTTGCAAGTAGAATTTTTAGCTAAAAATAAAACATATTAACATGTAATTTATAATAGTTTTTACACTTAGTGAAAATGAGAAAAAATGTTGGCTTCATTTAAAATATCTCCTGCACAGTTTTTGAAATTCTAAGTACAAAGAAACCCCACCAAGACGTCAGAACTTAAAAGCTTCTACAGAGTGGTGTCCTGCAAGACTGCTATACTTCTCGGCAAATTTGTTACTATTATGCAGGATTGAGGACAGATATCTAAAGAGTAGACAACTTTCAGAAATTTTATGTTGGGAGTGAATTCCAAGCCAAGGTAAGAGAGAGTCTGCAAAAGAAAAATACATAGCCAAATATCCACGAAGGAACACATACTGAAGCAACTTAAAGGCAGTGATTCTGTAACTACTATGCTCAGCTATCCTCTACCCACACATTCCTCTCCACAACCCCCAGCTTGTATGCAACTGTTTCTTAATAGATGTTTAAAAAAATCTCTTCAACATAGCCCATCCAAAAGCAAGTAGTAAACACTTACCATTACCTAGCAGTTCATTTGAACTCTCAACTCTGTTTTCTGGCACTGTGCAGCTGCTCTGTGTGTACACAGGTACCAGCATTAATGTACTACATCCAATGCTGAAGATGTAGCCTAACATCCAATGAAGAAAACCTGCTGTTTGTACTTTACTTGTTTCTTTTTATTTACAAAAAATCATTAATAGGCTTGTAAATTTTCTGTTCTCACCTTCTCAGAGTGGAAGTTTTACCTATTATTTTAGAAGAGAACAAGACGTACATTTAAAATTTTTACTCCTGCTTTCTCTTGCATATATATTTTCTATTCAGTTAGAAACTAAAAAAGCATCACAAAATTGACACAGAACAGTTTGGTCATGAACTTAATGATAGTATGTACATTTGATTCATGTGTATGGTTCTAAACAAAATATCAAACTTGAGAGAAAGGAGAAGTTTATAGTACGACTCGAGAGGAAGAACAGGGAAATGATATCTAATTATTATCCTTTTTTCTTGTTTCCATTATAATTATTTCTGTACAAATTCAGTGAGAATCAATATCTCCTATATGCAAAAGTCAAGGCAATATAAATTGAAAACATTTCTTTATTTGATTCAAACTTGAAGAAAAACAGAAGCGCTAAAAATACAGATTCTGGAGGCGAGATCCAATCTTGAATATGATTTATACAGTACTTTAAATTTTAATCAAGTTTATTGCAGCAATTATTTTGCTCTCTTTCCCCCCCATTTTTTAGCATTGTAAAAACTTAGATCTTAGGAAAAGTCATTCTCAGTTACATTTGTAGTTCATTTAGTTCTGCATCTTAGACTGCAATCTTTAGATAAAGATGAGGGGAAAACAAAAAAAAAACCAATCAAAATGTATGTATAGTATAATCTGCCCTCAGTTAAAGTCTAACTGGAAACCCTTGTAGAGATTGCTTCAAACCCCAGCTTTCAGAAACAAAGCATTTTAATGCCTTTCAAAATTGTTCCTTTGATGAGAAATAAGTAGTCTGGGTAGTTTTATCACCCATATAACCATTCAATCCCTCTTTGAATTTTACTGAAGCTTTGTCTCAAGTCAAGACTTGACTGGCAGTAAGTTACATAGTCTAATTACACTTTGAAAGGAGAGTTAATTCCTTTTCTCAGTTGGAGTTCCTAACTTTCAATTTTATTGAGTATCCCTTTCAACTGTGTTACAAAGAAAGAAACTTTTGATCTCACAGGTAAACTAGTCTGTCTTTTTTCCACCCTTCCTTCTCACAGCTAAACTATAGTCTGTCTTGTTTCCACCCTTTCTTTTAAGAGTTGTAATGCTTTTGGAAAATATAAGTGCTATATAATATCATAAAATAAATTATGAGACCTAGGAATTTATCTGCTGACCCTCTTTCACTTCCAATGCTGATCACTGCCTCTACAAGGTAAAGAAACAGGCAAGAAAAAGTGCTTTAATTAAGGTTCGACTTCAACTAACTCACCTGATATAGCCCTAGACAAACCCAATGGATACATGTAGACACTTTTATCTATCTCAGTAGTAATTACGATAGGTAAGCAAAAATCATAACTGTTACTAAGAAAGGAGTATCCTACTACCATAATAGCAGTTATGCTTTTCATCTGTGTTGTGTTTTTTTCAACCTCCTTGGGATGTCAGCAACCATCTTTCTATCCCACCTCCAAAGAAACCAGGACTTTTATTGCATTCATGCAACGAGTTTAAATCATTACATGAAATAAATAACATCCATTACATTTAATGAAGGTAAAATGAGGCTCAGTAAAAGATTTACCTCCTTATTGCTCCAGACATTAAGAATTACAACTCTTATTTGTATTTTCTCTGATTCTAATTAATCTAGGAAATGGAAATGTTTATGATATAAATACCTTAACCAAGCATTGAAAAACTTTTAACCTTCTACAATTTGATTTTGTCTTCTTTATCAGCCAATGAGGTTTCTGCCCTGCTGTGAAGTAAAAAAACCCATTAGACTCTTGCCAGCCTAGCAAGGAAGGAAAAGTTCCTTGCCAGATTCAGAGAAGGCGGCAGCAGTTAATTCCAAGTCTTCAGTAATTCCTGTACTTTACCATACTCTGTCTCACGGGTAAAGGGATGGGAAAATGCTAGCTGAGCACATGACAGACCTGATTCACAAGACCAAGTGCAGACTGGTAGGCAATGAAACTTAAGGAAATCTTACAGCTCCAAGAATTCTCTTGGATAATCAAAATCAATAAAACTTGACAGTGTCAGAGGGTGAAATAAGGTGATTATATAAGCTTGGTGGTAATATTCCATCTGCAGGAAGCAGAAACATTTGGCTCTAGTGGAAAATATCTTTGTGTAAAGTTGTAAAGTCTTAATTAATATCTTTGAACCATTAACAATCAGATTCCTGTCCATACAATCTCAGTTGATCACTGGTTTCTGTTACTAGACTACAATTCTCTTACTCTTGAAACAATATTATAGTTTAAATTAAAATCTTTGTCACTGCAAATCATCTGCAAAATTCATTGTATCTCAATTATACAGCTAGGCAAAACAGTTTTTGAGTAAGAGTTGTAAATGTAATACAGGTTAGTTGTACACTACTTTACTACTGCATCCTGAGTCTAGATCAGCTGTATATTCCCTGTTGTGAAGAATAAGAGTTTTAACCCTCATACTTCCATATATTTAATTACAGAACCAGGTCTTCCTGTGAAATCTCAGTGACCTTATAATGCACAATGTAAATACTTAGTTCTCAACTAACAACAACGTGTATGTGTGAGCCAAGGTAAAGGTCGAAGACGAACTATGAGCTATGTGAAAGAGCAGAATAAAACTGTAGCAATTCACGTATTTGTTTGGGACATGTTAGTAGCTACTATATGATTACACTGATCATATGCATAATTAATGAATGCATCTGGTTTCATTTAATAGCAATATTTTAGGAAATTAAGCAAAAGGCAAAGCTATGGATCCAAAACAAACATGGCAAAAGAAATCTTAGGATTAAAATTTTAGATACAATAACTAAGCAATTAGCTTGGTATGGCATAAAACTAATTACAGGCTCTTCACAAAGCTGTGTAGCTTAGCTGCCAAGCCTAAGAATTTGATTCGAAAGGACTAGGGTCCAGCCCTAAGGATGCCTTGAGCCAAATTAAAATCACATCAATACTTAAAGGTGTACTTCTACCCTTTACCTCATCACAGTCTTCTGTTCTCACTAGTTCTCCTTAACTAGCTCTAGTGATCTTGCAGTGTCAAGCTGAATCAGCTCTGCTCACTGATCCAATCAAAACTAGGTCTAAAACCAAAAAAACCTAACTCCCAATCAAGCAAGTCAGTTAAGTCATCATTCAGTTACACAACTGTTATTGCTGATGAAAGGCGTATGACGGGAGGGAGACTAAGACTGTCCTTAGCAGAAGCACCCATCTTGCTCTTCTTCAGCTGATTATTAAACAACAGCATTCTTTCCTGTTACAAAAACACCAATGTGAAAGTACTATTGACTCAGATGTACCAGTAAAGCTTAATGTCATTCTAGCATGAAAAATACCAGTGGTATGCCCAAAATAAACTCTGTCAGCAAAGGAGTAGGTATGTCGATGTTCAGGAGCAACAGGTGGCCACAGAAGAGTCTGAAGCAGGTAAACTGTCTAAGCTTCTAGCAGGACAGTAAACCTTGCTAAATATACAAAACATAAATATATTTTTTTCTTGGATGTTACAGTGTTTCTCTACTGTTAGGATCAAAAAATTTGATTTAGAGAAAGCAGGTGGGTCAAAGCTATTAAACCAAAGCAGCAGAACAGGTATACTTGGCAGATAAATATGGAAGTGGAGAACTTGATCTAAGAGTTGGGATTTCTGCCCGACAGAGGTAAAGGTCCAATAAACCACTGGAATTTGGAAGAGGTCTCTAAGTGTGACAGAAGAGCTACAATATATTAACAAAGACATAAGGAACTGCACACTGTCCCCCTCAGCTTTCCCTCCATTCCACATCCAGCCAGCTACACTTGTTGAGGGGAGAAACACAAAGTCATGTTCCACATCATGAATGTGGGTCATCCCTAGGGAAACAGTTTCCAGTTAATTGACTCGTGCTAAGGCACAGCATTAGCAAAGTGACAGAGGTGCAGAGTGTGTACGTATATCGCATCCTTCCAAACTACCAGCACGTACTTCATGTTCATAAACATCAATTCTGCACAGGGACAGTGAGATCTAAAGAAGTTTCAATGGATGAATGTATATTTTGAACCACTTCTGAACTATAAAAAACCAGTTATCTCGTATTTTGTTCATCATGTACTGAGACATACTGGTTGAGAGAAAGCACGGAAAGATGCAAGGAGAACTTAGAACAGTGTAATACAGAATATTCTCCAACAAAACCAGTCTCCAAGGAGTCTGCCAACTTAAAGTGATACATTTCCCAATAACTAAAACACCAATTCTACATGATTAAATACAACAACTGGTTACTAACTTAGAACTATTTTATATGTCTAAGGATATGAAATGAAAATATTTGTGCTCAACAGAAACACACTGCAAATAGGAAATGCTGAGTAGAATGCAAACAAATACCCAAATTGGAATTTAAGGGGAATATAAGTATTAATGCTTTTTAACCCCCCAAAAGCCTTATACGACATAAAACAGTTAAAAGCCTGGTATGTGCTGAACTACCAGATCAATTTTTACAGTATATATAAGCAATAAAATTAATGGCTTGGGCCAGCTGTCATTGCTTATGATAGCCAACTGCATCACACCATAGAAAAGCATCATGTCAGCTAGTATTACTTACTCACACATCTGTTATCATCTATCAGTATTCTATCCCCTCTACATGAGCAGTTCACTCGTCCATCAGGAGTCAGAAGGCATAAATCATGACAACCTCCATTCATTTGTGCACAAGGAGATAACTCACCTGAAAAACAAATGATAAAAGATGAACTCTGTTTTATTAAATTTGCTTCAACAGCCAATGTCTTCGAGAGAGCAAAGATCACCGTATCTCAGATTCATGGGCAATTGATTCAAGTTTTCTCAGTCAGATGAAAATGTCAGCATGACTCAGATGCTAGCGTACTAAATATAAACAAACGAAGTTACCTTGAATACAATAATTTTAAAACCCCACAACATTCAAAACTGCTGATATTTGATAGGAAATGATTTAACTGCTATCACATGAGCACAATGTCCATAGCAGAAAATGGTCATTCAGTAATATTTATTTACTTGGGGAAGAGGTTATATCCCATCTTTTGTTAACAGTTCCTACAACAAAAGGGATTTATGAAACACCGTGAAATGTTTTAACTTGATTAAAACTCATTAAAATTCTTGAAATGAACAATACTGGAAATAACAAAATAGTGTATCTTGCTTTGTGACTTACAACTGTTAGTATCATTGGCAACAGCAATAATGCCCATTGGCTGATGCGGGATATCAGAACGAAGAATTTTTGTATCTCCTCCTGTATATTTACTGGAACGCAGAATAGCTCTCCTCACTCCATCTGACCAGAAGATATAATCATCATATACCGCCAGGCTGAGAAAGGTACCTGGTCCAGATTTGACAATTACCTAAAATACATAAGTACAGAAGAAAAACATGAGAAGGAATGTTGTTCTGAATAAGAAGTTTTAAAAGTGCAAACTGACTCACATCACTTCATAGTTTTAGACAAAATGCTTAACTCTTCTATACTTATAGCACCTGGAAAAATGAGATAACAACACTTAAAATGCGTTAAAAGGATGCTACAAGGGTGGAAATTTCAGAAATCCAGGCACCTGTTTCTCAAGTAAAAAAATCACGGTTTATCTAAATATGCCTGTAAAAATACCTACTCAACACACTACCTGCTTAATAGCTCGAACAGAAAAAAAGAACAAGAGGTACTGTAGCATGGCTGAAGGTCTAGAAATTCTGAGTCTTTATAAATCGAAGCAAGAGGCATGTTTCAGAACTGAAGAGTATTCACCATATGATCACATTAGAACCTTGAACCCAAGACAATAAATGTTTTGGAAGTGTACTCCAACTTAAAAAAAAAAAATAAATCTCCTCAGTCACCATACTATCAGTTTAAAACCTAGAAAGAAAATATGAATTGCAGTTCACTATATAGTAAGGTTTGAAAGAAAACTGTAGAAATACAATGAATTTAATCCAGTCTAAATCACAGCTCATGTAAAATATTTTCATATATGTTCTTTCTTTCTATATATCAGAATTAAAAAATTAACATGTACAGTTTCTGTTCTGAAGAGCATAACACATTTTCTAGCTGAAAATTTAATTTTGGCTGAACAGAATTATTGGAAGGGGCCTATTATTTCTCCATAGGTAATGGAAATAAATTATAATCTGAACATATTTATTGTATTCTTCCATGTTTCTCTGGGAAAATTAGTAACTTATATATACATATAAAGTGGGAACAGTTCTTCTGATCTAGGCTGGCAAAAAAAAAAATCCTGTATCTATGTATCAAGCTGCTACTTATCATAGGGAAATGGCAATAAAACCAGGAAAATAGTATCTTTCTTTTAACAACACAACAGAAATCACTCTTTTTTATAATCATCAATGCTCAATCTATATCTCTACTTGGGTCCCCATGGTTTTCCATCTGCTTTACGTCCTTTATCCTCTTTCCAAAAGGACCTTTTAATAATGATGTGAGTTCATGGAAATCAACTTGAAATAAAGAGGATAATTATCTGCATATACCCAGCATATCTGATTAATTTGAGGTATTCATGCTGACTGCACACATGCACATAGGTTGCACTGTGCATGCAGAGCCAACTGGTACACTCTTTAGCCTACTTGCAAGAGGATGTTGCGTACCATTTCTTTTAAATGATCGAATGAGAAAGAAGTAGTAATAGTCAATCTCATATTTAACAAACAAATAAATAAACTGGGGGGGCTGGGCGAAGGCCTTTCTCTTCATACAAAGAATTCACCCAATATATAGGACATCCAAATTCAATTTTGTGGACTAAAACCCTCCATTTTTCCTTCTACAGCTATACCTTGGAGATTAAGAAAGTGCCCTAACTCTGCCATATTCAATACCAACTAACGCTTCAGTGGCAGTTTGTTCACACCTATGCCAGTTCACTGCCCAGGGTACTTCAACAATTTGCTAACATAAATAATTATACTCCACTGCACAGGAGCATTCCTGGTCATGTTTAAATTCACTTATACATACACAGTGTCAAATCTACTTATATTAATCAGATCATTATAACAAATTCTGCATCACTATGCACATTATATATTTCTGCATATTTGAAAGAAGTTTTGACCAGTAATCCTTTTCTTCTTTTCCAGGGATAAATGTCTCAAGAGGATAACCTCTCTCTAACCAACCTTTTTGCAAATTAAAAGTATTAAAAGACAAATGGGAATGTATTAATGGTAAAAAGACCTCTTCTGTAATTGTGCACGTTTAGTGTAAGATACTTTTCATAATACACTCTTAAAAGCCTATGCTATTCATATTCAGACACATTTCAGAAAAAAAAATCTATTATGTATGTTTCTGAAAGATCTGTAGAAAATCTAGCCATGTAGATTCTGCAGTCCCATATTTGTCACCCATGACAGTGTGAAACTGTCCCAGTTTGACGGATTTTATTGTCACAACCAATACTAAAGAAGGGACCACTATGTTCAGCTTTCTGTGTTCTGTAGCACTGTTGTAATTTTTCTCAAATTGTAAGAAAAGAATGTAAATTCATTACAGAATTCATCATCATTCTTTAACCTTGGGAAATTTGAGATCCTAACAAAGGTTCACAAAAGCTAACATCCAGGAACACTTGTTCACTAATGCTCATAGCACTTCTTTCTTTGAAGTATCCTCTATTATGTCACAGCACTATCCAAGGACACTGGTTTTATTCAAGCATCCAAAAGAAAGAGTTCCTACTTCTACCAGCTTTTGGCCAGCTTTACAGCCCTTTTAACATTCTAGTTTATAGAATAATGCTGAAAATGACTGACAATTTTTAACTACTTTTTAAAAAAATCTTGATAGCACTCCTGGATGTTCAGAAGTAAATGAAAATGAAAGGTGATTTCTTTGGTCTGTTCATCCTTTGGTTACCTGCCAAATCGTGTTTAAGTTCTGAGGATTCAGGGTCAATCAAATGTGCTGTGTAACAAACCTGCTTTAAGTCATCTATGTTTCCAAATCTGGTAGTCTGCACAGCTTGCATGTTCATTTTCCCAGCGCTGTCTACAGATCTGGACAGATACCGGTAGATTCACCAGCAGGATCACGTAACAAAAATTCAGGTTCTTACACTGTGACCCTACTGAAATCCTTCTTGGGCGGTTCCACCTGGCTGGCCCAGGCGGGGCAGGAAGCACAAAAGGCTCTGCCCAGTACTCCCTGCTTCCTTTTTTCTTGCTGATTACTTATCCCTAACAAAAATAATGATGGAAGCCAATGCAAGCACTTTGGAGATTTATTCCTCTGAGTTTTCGATAGTTATCTGGTAAGCTTTGGATCTAGACATAAGACAACTGCTGGAGTCTTTCAGGGAATGCATGTACCCAAATAATGTAACACAGAGAAGAAAGCCAATGCAGAATCAGTGATTGCCATTCAATCATAAGAACAATCATGTTTTTAAATTGTAAAAACTCCAAGATAACAACTTACAGCAAGTTTTATATAAATTGGTGGCTGAGTAGGAACAAATGACCCAAAGTAGTGCTCCCACTTATGAGAATACAGGCAAAAACCTTCACAGGTCCCATCTGGAAGCACATTATCAACACAAGCATAAGGCCCAGTTAATTTGCCATCGTACAACTGCAGTATATGCTGCCTGTTGTTCAATTAAGGGTGCGTAAACTGTGCTGGAATCAGAAAGTCATTGTATACACTGAGTCAGAGGGGAAAAAGGACAAAGTTCGATAAGAAACCGAGCATCTGTATTGCACAGAATACCATACACGGAAAAACTTTTGAACCTCTGCAGACAATAGAAAGGTAAAGAGAACTAGAAGATACAACCTCAACCATCAAATTTAGTCAAGTATGATATAGACCACAATGTAATCGAAAATTTATTCAGAAAGGTCACATTCATGAACTTCCACAAACTATTGCAGTACTGTATAAACACTTAAGACCTTTTCTAGAAAGGACAAAAACTGTCAAAAAGCACCCTGTACCACAGGTAGAAAGCAAGAATAATTATGGTCATCAGCCATGGTTTTGGTCACAGAAGAGAGAAATGTGGTACTAAATGAATGTGCACACATTGAAAAAAGCAATGCATTGCTATTCTCCATTACAAAGATCTGAACTGAACAGATTTCTCTTTTTTTACAGTAAGAAGTTTTTAAACAGTTTTTTTAACAGTGTAAAACAAAATCAATCATATAAAGACCCTGTCTTGACATCTTTTATCATTAGCCTAAATTGAAACCAAAAATTGCAACAATATATGTACAGTTTTAAAACATTAAGGAAACCTGAACAAGACATCCCTACCGTGCCTTCTGCCTGAACCAGTGGAAGTCAGACACATCCAACAGTGCATTATGGGTTTTAATACTGAGTGATACCAACATTCAGTTACAGCACATACTTCGAGCTCTAAATAAGAGATCAAACGTTTTCTCTGCTTCCTGTAAAGAGCTAAGGAGACTGGGAGAGGAATGTCACAAGAAGCTCAGGAATTTAAATTTAACTATGATCCTTTCTTTTTTAAGTTATGATTTTTAAGTTCTCCAGACAGCTATTTTTTTAACATATAGCTGCTCTAAATTTGAGGTATGTGTAGCAGTTTCTTTAGAAAAACATGACTGGAAAAGGGGAGGAGTCAGTCAGGTAGACATGTCAGGTAGAGAAGAATTCGTGCCAGAATACTATAATTTGCACGATTTATATAAAACTCACTAGATTGTCAGTAAGAATTAGATTCATAACAATTCTTACCATGACAATGTTTAATTTTTATAGAAAATCAGGGGTTTTTTAAAGATGAGTGCATAAAGTTAATGCATCAAGCTTAAAATATGAGTCGCTTTTAAGTATTTTAACTCTAATGAAAGGCTTATTGATAATACTTTCAAAATGCTTAATAAATGGGCAGAGCCATCTAATAAAGCTTTTCAAAGTTTTTTAAGGGTTCTTTACTTTCTAAAGATACCTGAATCTACTTAGAGGTCTGTAACAGAATGACAAATTTAGTACAGAAAACTACACTTAAAAGCATTAAAATTAATGGCAATTTAATCCCAATTGCATAATAAAATCATTACACAAGTATAAAGAAGTATCTGTAATCTAAAAAAAAAAATATTTTGGAAGAATATCAGAAAACTTAGTCTGACAGAACCAATTTACACAGAACACCACGTTAATCAAAATTAGCTAATGTACTTTATTCTTTCAAGTGGAAGACATAAAATAGTACACCATATTTATTACTCTGTTATGAATACTGTTTTTAAAAGAGTATAGACAAGGAATCAATGAAAAAAATTATATGAGACTGTGATACAGGGAAAGCAGTTGCACAGCCAGGGGAAAAAATAAAATAAG